TATACAAATAAAACTGAATTGAATTGAAGATCATGGCAGGCCTTCGTTCTCATGCTAAACTCTTCTTCAGAAACATCACTATGTTAAGCCAGATGCTTATGAGACAGGGAGGACCCCAAGGGGAGAACACAAGACAGCTGGTATGAACAAGACTTTTAATGAGGATTTACTGTGGAAAGCAGGAGACTTGGAAGAGCTGGGTTCAGGGTGTAGGAGCAGGGTGACAAGCTGGGAGCTCAGGAGAGGGAGGAGGCAGGCAGGCAGCATAGAGCTGACAGGAGGTGAGTGGCAGACTGGGGAGTGCCAAGCCGGAGAGTGTGGCGCTGGGAGTGGAGAGTGCAGAACTGGGAGCGGAGAGCTGAAGAATGCAGAGCCGGGGCACAGAGAGCTGGAAAGTGCAGAGAAACAAAAACATATAAGAATCATCCAAGACAACAGGTACAAAAACTTGATCAGTAGAAAAAATAGCAACCGCTAGTATGTAGCATAGGTAGGAAATGAAGTGGCAGTGAGGAGATGCCAGAGCTCTGGTTAAATGCAGTGGAGCCAATTGCTTGCACCTGCGCCGGCGAGCACATCCTGTCACTCACCCTAATTGTCAGGTTGGGGAGGGGAGCAAATACCGGCCAAGGTCCTGTTAGGTCCTTGGCCGGTATCCGGTATACCCTTTCCAATGAGAGCCCCCAGGCCACCCACCGGGTCGGTCAGGATGAGTAGACCAAGCCGGAATCCAAAATGAAGGAGCAGGGGCCCAGGAATGCTCCCCGGGGCCGTAACCTTCCCAATCAACCAGGTACTGGAGGCCACGGCCCCGGTAGCGCACATCCAGGAGGCGCCACATGAAAAAAAAAGTAGAACATGGGGGATTTGGTGGTTAAAGCAATCCTAAACATAGTTTTTGAGTGTAACAACATACAGAATAAATTTGCTTTATTTTGCATTGTGAAGTTAGACTGTAATTTTTAGCAGAAAAATGTGACCATGCGTGGATTTCTTTTTTAATGCAAAGAATTTTAAAAGATTGAGAACATAATTAATTTAATAAGAAATGTTTGGTTTTGAAAAAAAAATCTCACATAGAATACTTTTGATTTCCTTTATTTAAATTACCACTGAACTGTATTGTCTTGTGATGGGGTGGAACAAACCAACTGATATCTTGATATAGTGGGTAAAAAAACCAAAAAATTAAATGCTGTCTGAGCTTGCAAAATATGTTTTTGCAGGCCTAACATATTCACCATGCTATGAAAAATAAAATGTATGTGCTCGGTTATGACAAGAAAACATTTTAAGCTTAAGGTCCAATTTGTACAGTTTCCATGGAATACTTCTTTCGGAATAGCTATATTTTATTTTGTAAAACATGTCTAATATGTGACGTAGTCATTAATCCCGCCCTTACTGTTAGCTGATTGGGTTGACAAAAAGTATTTTGTGCACCGATTGGCTTCCAGTTATAGAGCACAGTTCCGCAAACCTCGTCTGTTTTTGTTTTGACGTTTTGAGCTATTTAGAGGACCACAGAAGTCCTTAACAAAGGAGATCGTCAGCCTTCGGAGTCTAGGTTCGTAACTATAGCCTCTTGAAAATTACATGTTGCTGAAACATAACACGTATCTCCTTCGAAGTCTTAATTGTGTCGTTTCATCACTACACGGGAGTTTTATCTGTTAATGCTAGCTAGCTACGTTACCGATTTAACAACGCTTTAAGCCAGCTGCTGTGTTGTGTTGACTTGACAGCTGTTATAAGTACTGCCCCTACGTGTCCACTGGTTGCTAGTGATGCAGGCTAGCTGAATATATGTTGAGGATATCTAAGCGAAGCTAAGATAGCTAAGTTTATTGTGGTTTGCGAGAGAAGTTAATCTCTTATCACTCAGGGCATGAAAACGTTGTTAATGGCATGTAACTAACCCATTCATAGCGTTTGATCAATATGATGGTAGCCCATACACAGACTCTAAGCAGAGAACTTTAAATACTTGAACTATACTGAAACAAAAGATCCTTGTTTTGCTGAGTGCATCGAGACCTTCTCCCGATAGTCAGCTGCACTGGTGAAGTTTGGCAGGTTAATTCTTAATGAAGGGGCATGTAATTTTGTGGCACTAGCAAATGCAATATTTTGATGGCACATGGACTGCATGTTTTGGACTTGCGTGATTTTCACATAAGCTGCATCCATCCGACATCCACTTTTTGGGTTCATATTCAATGCAGACTTTTCACCCAGCCATGTCCTCTAGCTCTTCTTGAGGTATATAGAATTCCATCAGCATGTTCATCATCTGTCAAAGGAGCTCTCCTTCTAATTGGTTCATCTGCTTGTAATGTTGCCACAGAGACATACTGCCAAGGAACAACCAGTTTACACTGAGCTCTCCTAAAGGTCTTAGCTACTGATGTTGAGCAGTCACACTTGTTAGGAAGATAATTTCAGTTGCTTTTTGTTCACAGTCATACTGTTTTGGTTGCTACACAAAGCTAGATGACGGTGGGAATATACACTGACTGAAACTGAGAGTTTTACCTTCAGTCATAGTTAGGGTTGGGTTTTTTTTCCCCCCGATACTGGTGCTGGTGCCTAAATCATACCAGAACTGATACTTTAAAAAAGAAGTATAAAACCAGGCCATACATTTCATAATTTGAAGGGCAAGGCCGTTTGGCCTTCAATGTCATACATTTTTAGAGGGCAAAAAGGCCACTTGACTGGGCACTAAGGCTGAGACAAATGTGTATATAGCCTGAGCAGTAAAGCTACAAACTAGAGAAAAGTGCAGATGCTTGTAGACAGGTTAAAGGGAAATATGTAGAGATAGTATCATCAAACATCGTTCCATCTTTGTATCCAGTAAAACTAAAGGAAACCCTGTTGTAGCACCTCTAGCTTGATTGATGCAGTGAGCTAAATATTGTACATAGATGCAGTGAACACAGACATTAACAACAAACAGTTTGTAAAAATGTTGATGTTACCAAGAAGTGTTAAAGAGTGAGTAACATGAAACTCTACAGCACATTATACCAACTGACATGAACCACGGAGGTTTTATGAGGAGCAATCCCCAGTGAACAGCTTTATTAAGCACCGTTCTCCCTAATACATCCATAAACACACCCCTTACATGAGTGACTGAACATGAACAGTCATTTACAGAGATTGTTTCTCAAATCTGACAGATCTGATGTGGACAGACTGGCCACTGTGGTTGTGTAAGTATGACAGATATACAGGACATCATGGCCAGATGCTAGGGCCATTGTGAAATTTATACCCTGCATAAAATGAAGGTTGACATAAAAAAAAAACAAAAAAACATTACTGTCCATTTCACAGTGCCAGAGGGCAAATTTTTCAATTAACAAGCAATTAAGTGGCACCAAAATATACACTGTGAGCATTGATTAAAAGTAAGCTGGTTGCAAAATGTATTTTGCAAATCACAGTAGAATTAAGAACAGATGATTTAACTCTTGTAGTTTTTGTGGATGTCTTAGTTTTATTTGATGTAATTTTGAGAGACGCGTTAATATTCTCTTCCATCAGTAACATTTTCTAGATATTTTTTGCTGTATTGATTAGGAATGTTAAAATTGTAAAGGTGCTTTGCATACTTTTTCTAAAGTACAGTGTAAGACCCAATTTACACCTGGTGTTAAGATGATGAAGATGGGGGAAAAAAAGCAGAACAATTTGTTGGTCAGTGCAGGTTATAATGATTAAAAAATCATTGTTTTTTTTTTGTTTGTCTTTGTACCTTTTCAGGGAAAAAAGCTAACAAAAAACAAGAAAACAGGAGACAAAATGGCAACAGACTCTCCACGAAGACCAAGTCGTTGTGCTGGAGGGGTTTTGGTGCGAGCACAAGCTGCTACGTGAGGATGAATATCTGTTATTATTATTTCAGTATTGTTACTTCAGTAGAAATCCCCATGATACTTTTATGTGTGTCTGTGTCCTTGAAGAACCAAGAAAAGGGAGCAGTCTGCTCGATAAACTTGGATGTTGGTTAATTCACTGTCATCATTGCACTCCATAAATTGCACACCTTTTAATGTTTCTACACATTATTGAGTCTTTTTTTTATTAACTAATGTAACTGATGTACATTTACAATTACACTATAATTTAGATGTCATATCTACAGTATGTCAGCTGTGGAAGAATTGACTGATCTAATGTCCATAAATATACTCATGAAATTTAAAAACACGCCCCTAATACCAATACAAGTTGTGCATTTTTAAATTCCATGAGTATACATTATCATGAGCTTTTTGCTGTTATAGGGAGCAGTCTTACATGGAAAGTGTGGTGACCTTTCTGCAGGATGTGGTTCCCCAGGTAACGTCATTGTCATTTGCTCATTTATACTAACAGCTGTGAGTTTAATCCCAGTTCCTCACTGCTGTACAAATTTTAATTGGTGCTGTACATCCTGAGTATGTGGTTAGACAGCGATGACAAGACAGCTACAGAAAGAGCTTGTTTGTCAGTGGCACAAATCTGTGCACAAATTTGATCATTTTTGTCAGTATAAAACTATAAAGTACATTGATTTCTTGTATAAAACAGTATTACACAGTATTATTGTATTCTACACTTTTATGTACTATTTTATAATGTATTTATTATACAGTAATATATTTGTGTGTAATATGCAATCTGACCTTTCATCATGTAAAGGTCCAAAATAGTGTCTGCCAGAATGAAGAGGTCATGTTTTTTTTTTTCTCAAAGAAAGAGCAAAAACTAGGGTTAACATTGGTTTGACTTTTTGAGATGTAGAGCTTTAAAAGCATCTAAAGGAATTAATTAAGATATAGTTCTTTCAGGGTGCATTATTATCTACTGTAAAGCTAATATGTTTGTTTTGGTAACATTTGTGTCCTAGCATGGTCATGACATTACCTTTGTTCTGAGTTTATGTGATTATAATTTTGGGAGTCGTTTGAGCTTTGTGTCACATTAGCAGCAAAGTTAGCAGAGCTGTGTAGATTCAGAAAATAGGTTGGGAGGGGCAAAGAGCGAGGATTGGGGTCCGATTTAAGTTTATTTTAAGTCTCACTAGACCCTCCATTTGCTGAAAAAATAACTTTAAAGTTGCATAAAATTGACAAAAACAATATCAAACAAATATTTATTTTTAATTATTATCTATCTCAAGGAAGTTTTGCATTTTAACAAATAAAATTTTGTATGATGCTGAATGGAGCATGCCTTTAAAGGAGAAGGTTGTTAATTTTCTGTATGAATAGTACTTTCAACAATCCCCACACAGAGACTAAAAGCCAACAGTTAATTTCCTCTACTTAACAGGTAACGTCTGTCACTCTCAAGCCTGTATTAATTTATTTGTCTGTGCCATAGGCCTCTGTTGTAGGGCTGAGTGAGTTGGGAAATCACTGAAAACAAGCTTTAATTGTAAATGCTAGTAGGAAGATGAACCCAACATTTTCATTCAGTGGATATAAGAAGTCTACATACCACTGTTAAAATGCCAGTTTTTTGAAATGTAAAAAAAAAAATCTGACCAAGATAAATGACTTTAGAATTTGTTCCACCTTTAATATGACCTGTAATCTGTGCAACGTATTTAAAAGACAAACTGAAATTGTTTAGTGGGGAAAAAGTAAAAAACTGAAATAATACGGCTGTATAAGTGTTTACACCCTCTCATAATTATGGATGTGGCTCTGATGGAAGTGCAGAGAACAGTGAGTAAGTGTGAAGATGGGAGCCAGCTGATCAGCACAAGCATTCAGGCAGGAGGGGGGGGGGTCACACTGTCTGGGCCTGTTGCCTTTCTGATCTCTTGCTTTTAAAAGGGGAACACGCATCCTTTTCACAGATCTTCAGGGGTGGGAGCTGGGGGGAAGGAAAGTGATCTTGGGAGGAGCAGCTGCTGGTCTGAGGTGAGGTGAGGTGGGTGTGGGTTGTGGAGTTCTGCTTCTCAAACTTACAATAAAAAAAAACATTCAAGTCATCTGCCAGTTGATGGTCTTCCACAGCAAAGAGTGCTACTGTGATCTCCCTTGTCAATATGTTCCTGGCCTGGCTGTACATAGTCCTGTTCCCACTTATATAGGCCTCCTCTTTGGCATGACAAAACTGCTTGATTCTTACTGTGAACCAGGGCATGTTGTTGTATATACAGAAGGTGGGCACACACATGCCCTCACAAAGGCCTGGAGGCCTGGAGCTCTGTCTTTGCCTGCTTGGCCCATCTCCTCACTGTCTTGACCACAGGATTCGCAGCTTCTGCCTATAAGTTGGGATGAGACAGACCATGCAGTGACAGAGCGATGAGCATCTTTTATTGCAGTGGTCCAATGTATTTTTGTTCTTAGTAGGACAACTGACATGCTGTCTGTATTTGGGCAGTTTGTGGGTGAGATTTACTCTGTTAAAATTCCCTAGAACAATGAGTGGGGATGTTTCAATTCCATGCTAGTTATCTGGTCAGCCAGGTGCTGTAGTGTGCTAGCATGGGCCTGCAGTCATATATATACTCCGACCAGAAAGAATGACAGAAATTCTCTGGGAGAATAAAATGGTTAGCAGTTGATAAAGAGTCTAAGTCTGTGTTGCAATTTGTGAGTTTGTGAAATCTCTCAAAGTGCATGAAGCTGGTGGTCTGTAGAGAGCTCACATGAACATCTCCCACATACACAGTTGTTGGTTGTTTCCTCCATCAAGGAGGTTGTGTTTTTGGTTGTGTGTGTTGGTTAGCAGTATTACATACAAATGGCTGGATGGATCATCCGCATACTTGGTACAGACATTTTTGGTTGGAAAAAGCCAAAGGTCAAGGTCCCAAAAAATAATGGAACAAAAAATTGCACAAAAAATTCCCATTTTTAGCATGGGGGGGGGGAATTCACATCATCAAAAATGATCAAAATAATTTTCTGTTGGAAAGTTGACACATATATGTAGGGTGGCAATATCTATCACCAGACCAGATTTCATCCAGATCTGATCTGGATTCCGGATCTGTCAGGAGTTGCCATTTAAAGTTAACGTCCCCATGGCCTGCTCACTTTGCTCATTTCTAGCCATTTAATGTTTAGTCTTGGGTACCTCTAGATTAGCTTTGCACCCCTCATAACTCCAAATAGTCAAATTATTTCAGAACAATAAAACCAGAGTGCCTCTTCCTAAAAGCGAGAGGATAGTTCGTGAACATGCACAACTCCTGCTGCTGGTGTTGACTCGAAAGTGAACAGCATAACGAACTGCAGCAGCATTAATTAATTTGAATTTCTCCTCCATAGAAAGGTAAACAACGGTGTTGTGTCAGTCTGTTTCCTCATTGAGATGTGTTTCCTCTAATCTTCTGCTAACCACAACTGCTGAGGGGGGCACTACATGAAACAGAGCTTTGAACAGGGAAAACACATCTTAATAGGAGAACACTTTCTGACACAAGACTGGTTAGGAAGCCACGACAATGCATAAAAAAAATCACTGACAAATAAGCCACGCTTTCAACAATGAGAATACCTCAAATCCTACCTGACATGTTCGAGTCAGAATATGAAAGTGTAGGGCACAGTGAACTGCAACAGTATTAATTAATTTGAATTTCTCCTATATAGTAGGGCTGCATGATTAATTGTTTTGTGAGCATGAATTAGAGCAGGGAGATGACTTGCAACAAACCAAACACTCACTTTCCCTCAATAAGCTGCGTTAACCAATTACATTCAAAAACTAATCCAATATGTTTGAAATTGTGAAAGATATTGTATGCCATCCTGCAGCTATTTTTCAAACGTTGCTCTGCCTGCCCTGTATGCCTAGTGCTGAATAGCAGTTGAGGCAGAAATAAATCACTTTGTGGTTATTAGTTGCAGTTATTGGTTAACGCAGCTTATTGAGGGAAAGGGAGTGCTTGGTTTGATGCAAGGGATCTCACTGCTAATGCAAACATGGCAGAATCATTATCACATGAGACTGTGATCACACAGGGATCTAAATCACATTCATAAAATGATTAATTGTGCAGCCCTACTCCATAGATACGTACATGTAGGTAGACCACGTTATATGTACTGATGAAAAAAGATTTGTAACACTTGTAACACACACAACAAAGTGGATAATTGAGACACCCCATATTTTAATTGGCATAATGCAGACATAGTAACTTCTCCAACCTTGCAACAATTCTCCCTACAGAAACAGCGCATTAAGAGGCATGCAATGTGCGTTTTTTTAAATTTACTGCTACGTCTCACTGAGTAGTGGAAACTTCAGGGTTGGTAAATCCAACCGGTGATCGCTGTGTCTTCCCTCACAGATCCCTCGCGTTACAGGTGACCACATTCCCAAAGTAGTAAAATGATTTCCAACAGGTAGCATTGCATCAACAATAACATCATGGATCATTAGAATCCTCTCGCTAACCTGCAGCACATCACATGTGGCAGACATTCTGGCCTCAAGCAGTCAAAACAAACAGGTACTGTGCTCCAGAGGAATCCAGTGTTAATGAGTTGATCATTCACCACCCCAGGGTGCTTCACTGGCTGGCTGACTGTAGGTTTCCAGCTGCTCCATTCACACCACTTTAGACTCGGTCAGGTAAAACAGCGAGTTCCTGTACCTGAACATTCCTGGACATGCAGTAACCTCAGGCTCTGTATTTTTCTCCACATCCTCTGGTCACAATGCAGTAGCAGGAGGTATATATCCACAAAACTGTGTGCACTTGAAAAAATTTGCTTTTAGAATGGCACTGGTGGATGTCAGGCAAGCTTGCTTGAACACACACAGCAAGGAGAATATGATCATTCAGGGACATTTGTGAACTATTGCATATTACATGGTTGGAAAAAAATCTCACCAGAGTTTGCGAGACTTGTATAAATCAAATTGCTTCTGCACAGAACTACAACAACAGAGGTACACTTTGTTTTTTGCTTTCATTCACATTTAATATGGTAATTCGTTACTGTAACATTATAGATAAGTCAGAAAACACAGAAAAGCATGCCATGGGTGCTTTAACATTGAAAACCACATTTAATGCATATTTATTTTTTTGCGATGACTGCCTGCCATACCCTAAACAATGATCCGAATTTTATCTGGATCAAGAATTTTAGGATGTTTTGGATCTCATTTTTAACATCGGACCCAATTGAATGTTGTGCCTTGGCGGAGGTACACGTGCTTTCTGAGTGCTCTTATTATTTTTAGTCTCTGTATAGGGATGATTGAAAATACTATTAATGTAGAAAATAACTGACATTATCCTTTAAGAACTAATGATTCATATGGGTTTGGAAAAACGTATGCTTTGGAAAATGATAAGCATGATTGTAAAGTAAACATATTATGGTAGAGATGTTAAAACATAAAAAAACATGTTCTATACACTTTAGAAATCAACAAAGTTTGGTTAAAGTGGGGGGGGATTGTGTAGTTTACCAGTCTACTTCAGTTTATATCCAAATAATCAGTAGGAACCTTGATTAGAAACAATGAGGGATGTGTTGCATACTTGATTTTCCAGCCAAAACATATACTTGAGCTGTCTACATTTAGTCAAGCAGCCATTCTTTGTGGAATGTTTCTTTACTCTGGATTTATTCATCTATAAAATGTAATTTTACTGGTAAATGTGGCCAGTAGATTTTAGTTTTGTTTATGTGTGTCCATAATGTTTTTCCCATTATCTTTTTGGTGTTTCAGGCATATACTGGGGCTCCACCTACTGATGAGAAAGAAAAAATAATTTGGGTTCGATTTGAGAAAGCTGACATCAATGGTAAGTCCTCACTTAACTGGCACAACTTGAATTTAGTTTTATTTGAACGCTGAGCAGAAGTTACTTCATGTCAATAAGCCATGCTTATCTTCTGTAAATACAGTCAAGTTTCTAAATTAGTCTTCAATTAAAATTAGTTCTATCTAAAACAGCTTTTACAAGCTATACCACAGTACAAGGTAAAATAATGTAAACTTACGTCCTTAAATTTGGCTATAAACAAAAAACAAACAAACAAAAATGAGCATCCCCTTTTTACCATTTAGGTATGTTAAGCTAATTTGTCAGTCTAGATTCAGAGTCTGGTGTGGTCACTAATGAAAAATCTTCTTGACTCTCAGGAAATGGTCATTTGTATTTTAAAGTTGTACTTACCATGCTTGCTTATGCTTTATGGCATAATTTGAAATACACATTAGCACTGATGGTGGTTTCAGGCTTGGGGCGATGCTGGAATAAGCTGTACTCTTCAGATCCTATCTTAAATGTTTATTTCTAAGGCAGTTATTAGGGATGCACCAATAACAGTATTGGGAATGGGGTCCAATACCACCTTCTAGTACTTGTACTCATAGAAGATGTCTGATACTATGCAATGATACCACAACAAAATACTTTAACCTCACGCTGGTTGAGCAGGTCGTTAGGCCTCTCTCCCTGTCTCACACAGACAGGAGGTCTCATTTTACAGAGATGTCATATGTGCAATGAAATCATAGTAATGAGGGAGAAATTAATCAAACACATGTTGAACAAGTAGAACACAACAACATATTTGTAGAAATGCAATGTCTTCACTCTGCCCTTGGTCAAAATGCTTGGTCCCTATTGACCTACTAAACCCATATGGTGCTCATTCATTCATTGTAGTGAATTGTTGTGAACAAGAAGAAAACAAATGCTAATTTTATGAAAATAACGGCAGAGGCTAATGAGCTCTGTGTATGAGAATGAGCTCAATTCATGTGGACTTTGAGGCTGACACCAGCAGCTCCTCTACAGAATTGTGCTTCCTGGAACACAGGCCTGGAGCATCAATGCTCATGCCATGCGTAGTGCAGTTCTCTTAAGCCTTATTGGGTTGCTTTCTGTATTTCAGTGCCTCATCTGTATCCAGCCCAAACAGCTAGCTTAGCACCACTGAGAGCTTATGCAGTGTCTGCCTCTACTCAGACAGTTAGATAGTTGCTACTCAGTTGGCTGAGAAACAAATTATGCCAGGAAATCTGGGTGAGGAGTGTGATGAGCAACAGGCCTAGACCAGAGCATCCACTAAAATGCCATTAGCTTTTATTCCTTCCTACTTTTTAGTTACCATTAAGACAAAGTAGACTAAATCTGAGCATGAACTATGAGCATGCCACAAGACATGATCAAAATGTTTAGCACAATTACTGTATCAACTTTACAATCAACCAATAACAGCCAGTAGGGAAGCCAAACAGGCTAGCCCCACCTGTTGCTAGTGTGTTTGACTGAGAAACGAGCCTGGCCAGGAAACCTGGGCAAATAGTGTGGTGAACCACAGGCCTCAACAAGAACATCCAGCAGTGTGCCAGCAGCTTAGCTGAAAAGCAAACCAGACTAAAGCTAGCGACTAGCCAAAACATAACAATCAAGCTATAGCATGCTAAGATAGGTAATCCAGACAAGGCATATGGATTGACCAATATCCATGATTGGAACATTCAGCAAATCGGGGATTGGTAGCACAATTAACTGTTTAAGACAGTTAATACAGCTGGTGAGCAGGCCAGCACAAAGACAAGGATGCTCAAAAGAACCCTGAGATAGTAAAGAGGAGAGGCAGGATAGCTGACAACTACAGCATTAGAGGGCAAATAATTGCACAGACTCTCCAGTCACAGGCAGGTTGCCAACACCAGCAACACGAAATGTGCTTACCCAAAATACAAGTCTGACAGAGCAAACAACCTGCCTCAAACACCAGGCTGACAGTGAGAAGATCAAAAGAGGCTGAAGGTAGGCTACCATGGGGTGTTGCTTTATTGGTCAGATGTGTTGAACACACAAGGTACAGTGGCTCTCGATGTGCATGTAGAGTTTTCTTCCATAGGAATGATTAAACAAGATAAGATAGAGAGAACTTGAGGCTGACATGTGCAAACAAGAAAAACTAATGTGCATTAGGAAAATAAAAATAAAGTATTTATAAATATAGAAAAATATTTGTATACACATTTTAGATGGAGTTTTTAAGATAGATACTGTACATACTGTATAAAAGTATATTCACAAGGTATTACACTGAGGGTGCCCAGGGTATGATGGCAGTGGTTAGTGCTGTTACCTCGCAGCAAGAAGGTTCTAGGTTTGAGCCCTGTTTTACCTGGTGCCTTGCTGTGTGGAGTTTGCATGTTGTGACCTGCGTGGGTTCCCCCTGCATGGGTTCTTTCCGTGTTCTCCAGCTTCCAAAGCTGCATGTCCAAAGACATGCAGCTTAGGTTGATTGGCAACTCTAAATCCCCCATAGGAATCAGAGTTGGTGTATGTGGTTGTCTGTCTCTAAATGTCAGCCCTGTTGATAGACTGGCAACCTCTCCAGGGTGTACACTTGCCCAATTTCAGCTGGATTGGCTCCAGCACCCCTGTGACCCTTGACAGGATAAGCGGTATAGGTAATGGCTAGATGGATGAATGACATACCTTCTCATAATTATAGATGTGGCTCTGATGTAAGTGCAGACTCCATCTGAGACTCCAGACTGAGAACAGACTCATTCCACTGTCATCTCCAATGTTTTGAGCACGCTCAAACAGCTGGAAAAAAAACTTAGTTTTTTTCCAGCTTACTATGACCTGGATGACTGAGAATCTGCACATACATGTTTTTAGCTCTAGGTTGTTACAACTCCACCACAGGGCCAGTTGTTCAGCCTCCTGTCTGTAGGCCAACTTGTCACTGTCTCGGATGAGACCAATGACCGTTGTGTCTTCTGCAAACTTCAGGAGTTTAACAGAGGGGTCCTCTGAGATGCAGTCACTTGTGTAGAACAAAGACAGCAGTGCTAATAGAAAATATCCCTGTGGGGCACCTGTGCTGATTGTCCAGATGCTGGATGTGATTTTTCCCCAGCCTCACCTGCTGCTTCCTGTCTGTCCGAAAGCTGGTCATCCACTAACAGGTGGGGGCAGGCACAGTGGAGTTTGGAGTGGAGGATGTCCAGGATGATGGTGTTGAATGTCAAGCCGAAGTCCACAAAGAGGACCTGTGCACATGCCCCTGGAGAGTCGGGATGTTGCAGGATGTAGTGCAGTGCCATGTTGACTGCATCATCTGCTCATCTGTTTGCCCGGTAGACAAAGTGCGGGGGGTTTAGCAGGGGTTCTATGATGTCCTTGAGGTTGGCCAACACCTGTTTCTCAAAGGATTTAATAATTACAGATGTCAGGGTGACAGGTCTGTAGTCATTCATTTTGCTCATGGATAGTTTTTTGGGAACTGGGATGATGGTGGAGCATCTAAAACAGGAGGGGACTTCACACAGCTCCGGTGATCTGTTGAAGATAAGTGTGAAGATGGGAGCCAGCTGATCAGCACAAGCATTCAGGCAGGAGGGGGGGGTCACACTGTCTGGCCCTGGTGCCTTTCTGATCTCTTGATTTTTAAAAAAGGCTTCAGGGGTGGGAGCTGGGGGGAAGAAAGGTCATAGATCATAGAGTCTGAGGGCTGCATGGAGACAGAGCGATAGGCGTTTTTTATGACTGTGTAGTTTTGGTCCAATGTGTTTTGGTCCCTGGTGGGACAACTTATGTACTGTCTGTATTTGGGCAGTTTGTGGGTGAGATTTGCTCTGTTAAAATTCCCTAGAACAATTGGTGGGGAGTCGCAGTATTTCAGTTCCACGCTAGTTGTGTTTGGCCAGGTGCTGTAGTGTGCCAGCGTGGGCCTGCAGTGTTATATACACTCTGACCAGAATGAGTGATGAAGGTTCTCAGGGAGAATAAAATAGTTTGCAGTTGATGAAAAGAGTCTTTAAATCTGTGTTGCAAGTTCTTTCTAACACTGATTCTACCTCCTCTCATTTTCCCAGATAACTCCATTACAAAATCTGTTCTGTATACATGGAGAGCTGCTGCCCTCCAATCAAAATGTCCATACAGCTTTTTGTATTAACAAAAATTGGATAAAAGGTGTTTGGAGGGGGTTTCTTATGTTTAGCATCTCTTCTTTTTTGAAGGTAATCCTGGATGGGTTGCAGGGGAGTGAAAGAGGAAAAACAACAAACACTTGAGAGAGTGCGCCACCAAAGCAGCCATACGTGGTGCCATGATGTTGTCTATTTATAGCAGATACACGCATGTAGCCTACTCTGTCATGCATGTGACTTTGTTGATATTAGGTCTCTACCTGCATGGAGCAGGGGAGACATATCCACTTTGTTTACTACCACTGGCAGTCAGGGAGGAGTGAAATAGAACTATCATATTGAGTAGGGACTACTAACAACCTTCACAGGACTATTAGAACTGTACATCAATGATTTTATACTAGACATAATGTTAAATGTGTACTATGGAATTTCTAAGTGTTAGTGTAATTACATTTAATAATTTGTGATTTAGGCACGCACACATACCAATCATAGCTCAAAACATTTCTAAATTTGGTTGAATTATAAAAGCCAGAAGTGGTACTAAATTAAGAGCTGTTTTCTGAGCCAAAAGATCCAGATCCAGCTGATTGCAAAGCTGAGCCAAATGATCTTTGAAAAGAGTCTGGGATTTCCATCATTAGTGGTTGTGCTATGTTTATCAAAAAAGGTTTTCATGTAATTTGCACAGGCTCCCATTATATTTTACTGAATGACAATCATAAAGTGAATCTCATGAAAATAAAAACTGCCTATGAAGTGACAGCAGTTTTATGGTAATTGAAATTTTCATAGCAGAAACACTGCATTTTTATTAAACACTTTTATCAGTACTTGGTATTGACAGGTAGTCAAATGTTAATACTTGTACTTGGTGTGAAAACAGTGCTATTGATGCATTTCTAGTAATTACACATAAAATGTTAATGCATCGGTACTGGATTGTTATTGTTAAAAGTGGAATACAATTCCAATCCGGAGCACTGACTGCATGCAAATAGGAGAGAATATGATTTATTGAAATAAAGAAAAAAAATAATTGCACTTACAGTAATTGAGAAAGAATATATTTTGCAATGTGGGCATTTGTTTTATAAGAAAGTTGTGATATAGCAGTCAAAGATTATATAAAACATGTACTGTACATTATAATGTAACAAAGCATAATGTTATCTGATTCTCAGTGAAAATATTACAGTCTGGTACAGGGGTTTCCCTGTTTGTGCAGGGCTCCAGACTAACTTTTCATACTGGTGGCACTGGTGCTATCACGTCTCTCATATGGTGGCACCAGTGCCAGATTTGGTGGCACCATCTCTGCTTTGCAACGTAATGCTAAATTAAACCTAAATTATTTTAAATACCCTTAACCACCCAATTTGCATAGCCTATAATCATAATAACAGTCAGAGAGAGAGAGAAACTTAGGGAAAACAATAAATGGGAAAATCATTTCTAGAACACGTTCCCACCTTTTTATATGTGTAGTCACTTTAGTGTTCTATAGCCTATAGCCGTCAACATGATGAATGTTGACACTGATGATGATTAGGCTGTTGTATTTCAACTTAAGTATGAATTCCGCACGTGGCTTGCCATTTGTGATTTAGCCCATTTGCTGCATTTTTTTTTTTTTTTTTGAAGAATTTCTGCTTTTTGGTGGTCTGCTTCATGCACAGTTCACCTCTTTCACTCTGGCTAGTAAAGTTACTACTTAAAGAAGAACCTGATGGTGGGTTTCAACCACTACTAACTTCAAACTGGGACTTCACTAGATGTGAGTGGTGCATATGCGTGACTTAAGTGTTTGATCCGTTGAATCCACATTGACTCGGACCTCTGTGCAGAGACTCTCATTGGAACAGCTATCTGTCAGCAGGA